GAGAGAGAGAGAGAGAAAAGAGCGTTATATAATCACATCGCCGTGTTACATCCACGAGTTATGCAGACGCGACCGCATTAGTGTTTCTTACCTTTTCTCGCTTTTTCTACTGCTGCGCTCGTTATCCAAGGTGTGACCGGCGACGGTATCCAGGGTGAGCAACGGCGGCGTTGTTCCCTCTCGTAACTATCTCGCGAAGTCACGTGGACACATCCTCTTTGGAAGCCGGCGATGACGAGCCGAGATCCCGTGGCGGCGGCGGCGTAGACGACGCTGCGGGCACGTGACGTACATTGATATTCCGCGGCATGGATCACCCACTGAGTGCACGAGAGAAAAACAGATCAGTAGCAATAGCGTCGAACGGGAGCAGGCGCGCACGGGCGCGAGACCGCCGCTCGCGTAATTCGAACTCGGAACTGTCGAGATATGAATTGGCGCCGGCACACTTCGTATCACTTCACACCGACGCGCTTTTCTCTGTTAATCGCAAAGTCGGAGCCGAAAATCCGGCGATCCGGCCGGAGAAAGGACTCTCCTCGCGCGAATCAGCTGTTTCTCTTCTCGCCGGATCCTCCTCCCTCGTCGTCGCTGTTCCTCGAATCGCGCGCTTCGCGCCGATGTCGCAGCACGTGCGCCTCGCGAAACGCTCGTGTTCTCGATTCGCGCCGTCAGCCGGAATGGAAGCAACGACGGGAGAGAGCGACGACGGCGACGGCGTCGACGCGACGCGGAGAACTTTTTTCCAGCGGGATCTCTACCGCGCTGACTGCCCAGGGTCAACCGGCTGGCTCTGCGCGCGGCACTTTTACCCGTTGGGCCGCTCTCAAGGACTCGGAGGTGGCTCCTATTCCTTTCTCTTATCCTTTCGCGCGCGCGCTTTTTTTTATCGCCGCTAACCTTTTTAAACGCACTTTTAATTCCGCTCGGCCGCGTGTTCCCGGCGCGCTGCCGCTCCGCGGCGGTTCTACGCCGCGCGGATCGGGCGAATTTCTCGCGCGACGACGACGACGACGACGAATTTCTCCGCGCCGTTCAGCGGCAGCGGTGAACGGGACGGACGGTGGAGCGGATGAGAGCGGAAAGCGAGCGGATCTCGCCACATCCGGATCGTCTTTCAGACTCGTCCTTCGCCACCGCGGTCTGCGCTCCCGCCTCTTTCTTCCCGTTCCGCGACGGCGGGTCCGCGCCGCGATGCCCTCCTCGTCGTCGGTGCTCGGCTAAGGACTCCCGTCCTTGGCGCGAAAAATCCGCGTCCTCCCGCTGCGGTTTTTCCCGCGCGACACCGGGTGTCGTGTCGCGGTGTGTCGCTGCTCTCCTCCACCTCCTCCTCCTCCTCCGCCTCTTTCTCTCCCTCTCCGTCGCGGTGTCTGTCTCTCTCTTTCTCCGCTGTCCTTTTCCCTTCCGCGTCTCCCTTTCCGTCTGTCTGTCTCCTTTCTCTTCTGCGTGTTGTAATCCTTTTTGCGAAACTTCTTGTGCCCGAACGAGGCGGCGAGGTAAAAGCGAGCGCGCGCGCTGCCGACCCGCGAACCGAAAGAGAGAGAGAGACAGGTTGAAATTCGCACGCCAATACCACGGCGGTTGCTGCCGATGGTGGATGCCGATGCTCGACGGCGATGATGCGGGGATGATCGCTCTCTGACGAACTCCGGAAACGGATTCACCGGTGGGACACGACGACGGCGACCTTGAGCGCTCGCGTTACGCGCTGGACGGAGTGAAACGCGCCGGACCGATTACTTTCCATCGCTTTTGCTCCCGCCGTCACCGCTGTCTCGGCGAGACAACACGCGTTTTCGACGGTCCACCGCGACGACGGACGAGTCCCGATACACCTCCGCGAGCCAAGTATCTCGCGTGGACGCGATTTCGCGAGAAGCAGCGGACTAGAAAACGTCGTTACGCAATGGAACGGTGCGCCGTCTCTCTCTCTCTCTCCTCCCCCTCCTCTCTCTCTCTT